CCCCAAAACCCCAAAACCCCAAAACCCCAGAGCAAGAAAAGAAAATTGGGATATATATTATATAATTTATTTCGTTCACAATTATGTTGAAGAAAGTTCAGGTGAAATTGGTTGGAGCTATTGAGAAATTAAGTAAGTTTACAGCTAACCTTGAGGCTACAGGATCCCTATAACATTCAAGTCAGTGCCCAAAGTCAGGTACATCAGTTTGATCAACGGTATTTTTGTAATTGGCTTGGCTAGCATGTTGGCAATATATGGAGGCATCTTGTTTAAATAAATTGATTGAACGCAATGAATGGAAATTCAACCAGAACATTAAGAAGACCAACCTCAATGAAGATCCTAGCCCAACTAATATTACTGAGTTTGACGGAATAGAATTTAAAATTACATATGTGAATGATATAATAGAGTATCTTGCACCTCCAGAAGATATCCTTTCGATTATACAATAATTCTTGAAGAATTATATTACTTTTCTCAAGATGATTAGAACTGATAATGTTTGAAATTATGAATAACAGAAATATTAACTTATTCTAAGTGTAGACAGTTATTTGAACTATTTGGAGATAAACACGACTGGAGAGTATCTTCTTGGAGAAATCAAGACTACTAAATGCTCTGAATCAATTAAGAATGTTGTTTATGAAAATATATTTAAGGAAGAATGATTCATTCTTGATAACAAAGAGCTGGCTGGAGATCAAAATGGAGTTAATAAGTTTAAAACCATAGCAATAGGGAATCCAATTTGAGTTGAAAATATCAATTATTTGTGATATGATAGGGAAGTATTAAATCAGATAATAGTATCTTTAAAAGTGATGATCTCTGTGAAATCTAAGTACGTAGATCTGAGCGATTCGGATAACCCAATAAAAGAATACATTGAAACTTTGTTCGAGATTCCACTACACCCAAAGATGTTTAATTATGGAGGTATCTTTATCGAGAGGCAGGAGGTAACTTTAGATGATTCCATATTCTCTCCATTCTTTGAATCAACACAAATTAAGTTCAACAAGGTTGCTAATAGAGAAAAGCACCAAGTTTTTACTAGAAGTTTGGATACACTGGGTGGTTACCCAGTCTTAGGATATCGTATGTTAATAAAGCTAAGTGACGAAACAGTTCGATATTCAAGGCAGGCATTCACTTTTCTTGAGCTGACCGGAACACTTGGAGGAATTTTTGAAGTCGGTAAAGTTTCGCTCTCTTTCCTTTTCGGACTAGTTTACTCATACTTTTCTAAGAAATCACTAGTTAATGAAATTAAGAAAAACACTAGCATGCTTGTGGAGACCCAGAAGGAGCTCCAAGCTCTTAAGAAAATGGTGCAGAACCCTAATCCTTCACAGCATGAAAAAGAAAACAATGTTGTGATTTCTGACGAGCAGAAGAAAAATATAGAAAACAGTAAAGAGGAAGAGCACCTTGTTCCTTCTCAAATAAAAAAGTTTGACAGTAATAGCTTGTCTTACAAAATGATCGAAGAAAGCAAAAGACTGCACTTTGAAATTGAACCAACCATACAGAGGTCCAAGTCAAATCATTTAAATAAGCACGACATTTCTGACCCAACAGGAATTGCGGCAATCAAATAGCCAAACTGAAGATATCTTAAAGGAATTTGATAAGCAGACTGACTGTCTCAACATTTTATTCAGGATTCAATCATTGGAAGCTAAAGTTTCTTATCTCTTAGAAAAAGATCCTGAATATAATTCAAAATATTGATAAGTCCTTCAGATTATCATTATGCATGACCACCTAAGAGGATATTTTGAGTGGAAATAGCTAAAATCCATTATGTAAATTAAATTCTCTTTTCACTTCCATAAAAATATTGCAAATAATTTATCGAGCTTGACTATTTTTAAACTACTAATTGTTAGTAATAGCATTTTCAGAGAATGTCAAGTCCAATCATCTAAATCTAATTTCTAATCCACAAAATGCTAACATTTACAAATGATACAGATAAACTAATTTTCTTGTATTCCTTGCTTTGCTTCCTTTTCACTCCTCTTCACTACTTGAACTTTCCTCCCAATACTCTCTCATTATCTATTATTGTGACTCTTCTAGCCAACCACTTTCCCAACCACCTTCCGAGGTACATTCCCAGGCAATCCAACTTGTACGTACCCAGAAGACTCCGACCAAGATAACTATTGAACCACCAACGCCTACCTTGAAGAACCTGGCCCACAGATTCAAGAAATATCGAGTTTATAATGAAGAAGAGTATTTGTAGAGTTGTGAGAGAAGGGGTGGGTTCTGAGTGGGGATTTGGAGAGGGAATGGAAAGAGCATGTTTTTGGAAAGATAGAAATTAGGTTTAGTTTGGCTTAAGGGGTTGAGAGGTTTAGGAAGTGGAGAGAAGGAAGAAGGGTCGTTGTTTAGTATAAATTATCTAATGATATTTGGTAGTGGTCAGGGATGAAAGTAGAGAGAATCTATTTGTTCAAAAATATTATCAGATTCCAATATTTCTAATACCGACAATACCGATATTACCTCAAAATCTAACGAAACAAATGAATAAACCCCAATCAACATCTTAAACCCCCCAAAAATCCCCACAACAGGCCCAATCTCCCCCAAAAACCCACTTCACTAACCCCCTCCACCACAATCCCACAAAAACCCTAAAACTTTCAATCTCTCCCCCTCCTCCTGGGGTTTTGGGGTTTTGGGGTTTTGGGGTTTTGGGG